ACCAAAAAAATTAAAAGTGTTATATTTTAAATGGGACAAAAATCGCGATGGGAGGCTCTTTCGACAGTGAGATAATAAAAGTTTATATTATGCAATGGTTATTACATTTATTTCGCTGATATGCAGGGATAAGAAATAATTGTATAATAATCAGCTTAGCTTCTTCTCACATCTCAGTGAATAAATCAGATTTATCAATTGCCAATGCTTGATTTAGCACACAAATACCTGCCAGTTTCAAACACCTGTTATTTGATTAGCCCGATTCTAGCTCTAAATCGATACTCCTAATTTCCCAGACAGGTGGGGGTTTTCGTAGGTAAACCGCTTCTCACGCCATTTTCCGGCACAATGGTTTTTATGTAAATTTAGTCATTTGCCACAACATTCACACACACGGCCACATAGCCAATGGTTGCGCCGCGGGGGAGAACGCTAGAAACTAGAATTTGCATTTAAATCTCATTAGTTTTTAATGGTTTCAGGTCCTGTAGCTTCCTTTTTCGGCCGTTTTGTGCGCTGTGTGTTCTGAAACTGACAACTTTGCGCTTTCTCCCGTTTTTAGTGTGCCATTTCCGGCGGAAACCACAAAATAACACCCCCTCCCCCAACCTTCCATAATTGCAGGGCGGGCTGCCATTTTGCGTTGTGTTTGTATTTGTTTAATGGAATCGCATGAGAAACATATGTTGCACACCCGCACGAATGCAAAGCAGAGATATTTTATTTTAGCATATTTTCCAGCTGCGCGCTGCACTTGACTTCTAACAACTTTATTGCGTATTTGTTTGCCGAATTCTGTGCTTCCAGAAAGGCTGCCAAATATTTATGTTCGTGCTCCGATGATATTATTTTAACGTTTATTTGATTTGGTGGGTATTTACTTATCATAAGTTCTCATTAATATGCTTTTAAGGACACAGAGTTGTGTGCATAAATTTGTCGCTTTAATCGGTTAAAATATTTTAAACAAAAGAGAACTCAGTGGGCTGATTTCGCTTATTATTTAAATACTTTATAATGAAATAACACTTTTTTAATTGATTATATTCCAAATACGTCTGGCTATATACCGTTTACAACATTGTCCGCATCTTTTACCCAGGATAGAGGTCATCAGGCAGTCATTATGTCTCACCTGTTCGCATTCCTCGCATCGCATTTCTGCCTGAATATTTTAACATAATTGCCATGTAAGCGAAGTGTACAACTTTTATTGTTGCCGTGGCGGCTGCTGGCGGTGGCTTTTTAGCCTTTTTATATTTTTAGGCCAATTTATTTGTGCCACTGCCGCCGCCTGGGCCATATGAATATACGGCATTGTTTACGGGCTTAATTTGCATTTGTCTCTCATTGTGCGATGTCTGGGTTTTCCCGAGTGCATTGGCCTCGTGGTCTATGATTATTACTGCCATGTACAGATAAACAGACCTTCATTAATATGTACATCTACGTTCATTTCAGCCAAATAAACGTGACCTATTAAAGAAGTGCCTAAAAATTGTTTGTTTAATTTCTTGAAAAACCAAGGTGATTTTGAATCATGCATTGAACCCATAAATAAATTAAATTCTGTTCTTTATTAGTATATTCTATATATCTGAGAAAAACCTTTTCTTCAAGTGTGGCATTAATGTCGGTTTGACGGCATTCAGATCGCCTTTTTTCGAGCTGCGCCGCTTTAAATTTTCAATTCGCATGCAATGAGTTAATTGTTCATAATTTTGTTATCAGATTAACACAAATTCCGCTTAACGATAATGACTTCATGCAGTTTATGGCCAGTGCGTGCGAAGGATTCGCGGCCAGGACCCTCGGCTTACCATTATCAGCTGCACGACAGCCGCTCGGTCCCTTTCGCCCCTTATTTTCTCGGGGGGCCATTGGATTTTATCGCAGGACAACGCTGATTAAATATCAACGTAATTTATTATTCAAATTAAGTTTATCGGCGAACAAAAGGCGGCAGCTCTCGGTGGGAGGCTCCCCGAAACGCTGAGTGGTCGGGCGAGTGCTTCTCCGCGGGAGCGAGGATATGTTGTACAATAAATTTGATAGGTGTGTCGCGTGGGCTTGTTCCAAATTGACATATCGCTTTCATGCGAGCACACACAAGCTCACTTGCCAATGGGCAAACAAATTAGCCAGAGCACACACACACTCAGACACACACATACACAACACACACATCGAAATGGGAGTTTTGACGCTCAGCGGGTTTTATCAAAAATGCATTTGTCATTATAAATGCAACGTGGCCGACCTGCACTCAACGTGCTTTGCTTACTCTTCTAGGCCGAAATCATTTCTGGGTGATTTAAATAAGCCATTCATTATGCTGACATTTGTTTTAAACTATTCAGCAGACTGCAAACTATTGGTTCCTCAGCCAAAAGCTATAATTTGTACAAGGCTGCGATTTGATTTTAAACACTACCCACTTTAATATAGTATTTTATAGTTTATGAAAATATCTAGCAACCAAAGCCTGGCTATTTACCTTTAAGCCTCATAGGATTTTTTTCACTTTTGTTGTAACAGTAAAAAAGGCAAAAAAAATCCAGTTTAATTAAAGCTTTTCAAGAGCATCCAAGCATTGGATAGCGCCGGCTAGTTGTTTAATTTTCAATTATAAATTCATATAAATTCAATGGCCGACGCGCGGCGCCTCAACTCTCCGTGGCCATTATACCACTCAGCCCCTCCCCTCCGCCCCTCCACCCCTTCACCCGTGCCACGCCCCCTGACCTGGGGCGTTCGACAATAGAGGCCTTTATGGAGGAGTCGCCATTATGTTGCCATAGCTGCTACGGCTGGATTTGTGTGGCACGGTCAAAACGTGTTCAATAATTTTGTCAATAAAATGTCAGAGCAGGCACGAAAAAAAAGAAAATAGGTGGCCAATGTGTTTGCCGCAAAAAAAATGGACTGTTTTATATATTTCTCTTTGGCGCACTTCTCGTTTTTTTTGGGCCTGGTCGTGTGGCCTACAAATCGTCCCCTGAATGCGGTTAAAACTGTCAGGCCATAAGTTTACACAGGTTGAGGTGCGCTTGCTTTCCTCGTTTTTTAGGGCCTCCCGCTCGCACATTAAACTCATTGTGTTTATGGCATAAATTTGCATGTTTTCCACGTAAATTTTTCAATTTGAATGGACGCTTTCGATCCTTTCGTTCGAGGGTCCTGTGTTGGCCCATGGGCCTTTTGTGTTAGGTGGGATATTGTTGGGCGATGTTAAACAAAATTTAAAGTTGAATAAAGTTATCACCCAGCGGAAGATCGTATCGCATCGGCCCGAGAGGGTTAATATATAAACGTGTCTGGATGGAGTTGGATACTTACCATAAGATTAGGTTAAAGCTGAAGTAAGTTGTCAGTGGCCATTTTAATATTTACAAAGTACATATTGTATAAGGGAGCTCCCAAAGTGATTTGCATTCGCATTTTAATTTATGATAGGCACAATTCTATTATATAAAATCTGAAAGTGACCCACTTATTTAAAACCGTTCACTGCTAAAAAATCCTAAAACATGTTTAACAGACTACTCTCTTAAATTGCCTCATGACTCTGCTGCTGCCATCTATGGTCTTTTAATTAAATATTTACATTCGCATTGTGTTTACACATTTTTCCTAATGTTTTTGTTCGGCTCTCCTTGTGTCCTTGCCAACGGAGGAGCTCAGTTTTAGTTTTTGTCTCGCTGCCCGGCAGGACACGTGTGTGTCCTCGGTCAGGACCTGTGTATAAGTGTCAAAGGCATGTGTTTAGCATGCCTCATTTGAGCGCAAATACACCTGCAGCCATCAATTATGCAAAGAGCCAGTCTCCTCCGTCCGTCAATCTATCCACTCGTATGTCCGTCCATCCATCCGTCCGTCCATCCGTTCATCCATTCCGTTGCCAGGTCGGAGTGGTCGGAGGATTCTCCGGCTGCGTTTTACGCTCGCTCTACGGCTCCGGCTTGGGATATTGGCTTGGGGCTTTTCAGACAGAAGAATTTACGCACTGAGAAAATCAACCGGATAGTTTGTCAATCAGAACTCAACCATCTTATAAGCTAATCAGAATATTACGTATACCTCCCGTTGACCAATGGAACCTTCTACATTGAAGGTTACTCATACCTACGAGACAATATTTTCTCTCCGTGTTAGCTAGCCTCCAGGTAGGCGGAACATCTAGCGACAGCGTTGGTTCAGCCTCTTTCCTCGGCCCACTTTCCCAGGGACCCGAATTTTCGTTCATCCATTCAACCAGCAAGTCAGCCAGTCGGCCATCCAGCTAAATTAATTTATTGGCCTGCCTTGCATAGGCCGAATAGCTGCAGTTTGCATAATCACGGCATTCATGTGAGAGCATCTAGTTGGACAGCTTATAAAATATTTATTTAAACTGCAAGTTGTCGGGCAACACTTGCTGAAGTCCAAATTGCAGGTCGTCCAACCGTGTCCACATATTCCTTTATGGGAACTCAATTTGGCTTTGAACGGCGATCACAGTGTTTGATTTTCAGAACAAAGGGGTAAGGGACCTATTTAATATTTTGTTTTAATATGGTAACAGAATATGTATTGGGAGCTCCTGTGAATTGCAGAGTTTGCAGAAACCCCACTTATTATAACTGAAGTAGATACTGAACCCCCTTTTATGCCCATGCCTCTGCCTCTGTATTCCACCTGCTTATCGCATACAAAATTCATGGTAGGGACATTAAAAATCGTTTACCGAAAACTAAACTTTAATTACGAGCACGCTCAATTTGCCACGCCGCCTTTCACAAAAACGTCGCCTAATTGTGGGTTAACAATTTGTAAAACCCATCGAACTTTGCGCAAGGACAACGCCCAGCTCATCAATTATGCTGCACAAGTGCTTTGTGTGCTCCTCAATATCTATATATGTACGTTCAGTTTCCAAGGGTATAAAAGGCCGAGGGTCGAGGCATTATGAGCTGAAAGCTGAAGCTGACAAGTGTTTGCCGTCCCCGCAGTGGAAGATGTTGCCCCGCTTCCTGACCTCCTCGTTTCCCATGGAGCGCCACTACTTTCTGGTGCCGAAGTTCGCACTATCGCTGATTGGCTTCTATCCGGAACAGGAGCGCACTCTGCCCGTGAGGCTCTGGAGCTTCTTCAACTTCTTCATCCTCACCTATGGCTGCTATGCGGAGGCCTACTACGGGATCCACTATATTCCGATTAACATAGCCACTGCACTGGATGCCCTTTGCCCGGTGGCCTCGAGTATTTTGTCGCTGGTCAAGATGGTCGCCATTTGGTATTACCGCGATCAATTGAAGAGCTTGATCCAGCGGGTGCGGTTCCTGACGGAGCAGCAGAGATCTGAGCGGAAGTTGGGCTACAAGAAGAGGTTCTACACACTCTCCACTCGACTGACCTTCCTGCTGCTCTGCTGTGGCTTCTGCACCAGCACTTCCTACTCTGTCCGGCATTTGTTGGATAATATCCTAAGGCGCGCCCATGGAAAGGATTGGATCTACGAGACGCCCTTCAAAATGATGTAGATGAATTTAGGGAAGGGAATTTATTTTTAAAATACATCTTTTTAGATTCCCCGATCCCCTGCTCCGGCTGCCGCTTTATCCCATCACCTATATCCTCGTCCATTGGCATGGCTACATCACAGTGGTTTCTTTCGTGGGAGCGGATGGTTTCTTCCTGGGATTCTGTTTGTATTTCACCGTCCTGCTGCTTTGCCTGCGGGATGATGTTGGAGATTTGTTAGAGGTAAAAGACATCGCAGAGACTCCCTCCGAAGAGAACGAAGCTCGGGTGGTTCGCGAAATGGAAAAGCTGGTGGACCGACACAATGAGGTGGCCGAATTGACTCAGAGATTGTCGGGTGTCATGGTGGAAATAACACTGGGCCACTTTGTCACATCCAGCTTGATTATTGGCACCAGTGTATTGGACATTTTGTTGGTGGGTATTTTATCAGTTAAGATAATATTGCTTTTATATATATTTATTTTACGATTAGTTCTCTGGCCTGGGAATTATTGTTTATGTGGTTTACACGTGTGCCGTGGGCACGGAAATCTTTTTGTACTGCCTAGGAGGCTCCCATATTATGGAAGCGGTATTTATCATCGAGTCTTTTTCTTATTGAAATATTGTATTTTGTACTTCTTTACCTCTATATTCCATAGTGCTCCGATCTAGCCCGCTCTATATTTTCCAGTCAGTGGTACGCACACAGTGTCCGCGTACAAAAGATGACTCTTCTGATGGTGGCTCGTGCCCAGCGAGTTCTCACTATCAAAATTCCCTTCTTTTCGCCCTCTTTGGAGACACTGACTTCGGTTTGTTTTTAAATCAATTTATTAGCTGTATTTAAATACTTTTCATTACAGATTTTGCGCTTTACCGGATCTCTAATTGCCTTGGCAAAGTCTGTTATATAAGTGATTTCCCGGTTCAATGTTTCTATCAGTTATAATATTTAAAAAATATTGTTACTAAACAGTCGTGTTAGCTATTTGTTAAACATGATAGAGAGTACAAATTACTTTTCCCCTTTTCATTTGCACCTTTTTGGACTCTGATTTTATATCTCGGCTTAACATTTCCTGTGTTGTTTTTCCGTACTCTTACCGTCTGCGTAAGCGTTAATTCGTATATCCCTTACAACAATTCGGTTTTCTCTCACGTTGGCGCCACCATTGACCCCTGAATGTTGTTGTCGAATTAAAGCTGCCCTGTTGTTAAACATTTCCTTGGGTGTCCTTCTGCTTTCAGCTGCTCCTGCAAATTGCTTTCTTTGCCGTTGCTCATCACGATGCTCCTCCTCCTCGCTCTCCTCTTTACCGCACCCCTTCCTCTGTCTTCCTGTTTGGCACTTTCCTCTTGGCCATTCCACTTGGCCATTTTCAGTTGCACGCTTTTCCAACTGCAGTTCATTTCCATACCTGTTGCACGGAGAAACAAAAGTATGTCATTTTAGAAACGAAAATCAATGAGAAAAATAAAAACAAAACTACATTTTTCGATACGTGTACTTCAGCATATATATAGTCAAGCTTGTATATGAAGTATTATAAACGTGGGAAATGCTATAAAATGTATACTTTTAGCACAGTTAACATTAGTTTTTAGTTACTTTTTTAAGAATTCCCAGTTTTTACTTTCTGACGATATCTGAGCCAGTAGTTTTTCCCAGTGCACACACCCACGCGCACCTTAATGACATCCGGTCTGCGCCTGTGTTGGTTGGGTACTTCATATCCTTGCCGCAGTTGTTGATTCCCCTCCTTTTCCCCCTTTGAAGACAACCTCTTCAATGAGTGGATGTTGTGTGTTTTTTGGGGTTCTTCTCGGCTGATTTTTGTGTTTTATTTTTTCTGTTTTTCTGTTTTTTATCTCATCCATTGTTCATGCACAAATTCTTGCCATACTTCTGCCCCTTAATGTTGTAGTCCTTGAAATCCTTTACACGCACATGAGCGGGCCTATCTGCCGTCCCGCTCGCACTTCTCTAGCCATCCCTCTCTGAATGTCTGTCTGTTCGTCTTTGTTTCTTTTGCCATTTGTTTGTTTATTTTCGCTGGCGCCTCCTTTTGTGGAAAGTGCTTTTGCTTGTAATGTGCTCGACGTCAGAGTTGGAACCCCTTTTCTTCTTGTATTTTTTCAATTCTTGCCATCGTAACCCCAGCTCAGCATCCGCCTTTTAAGACTGTCTTCTTCGGCGGCCTCTTGGATCTGTGGGCTACGAAGTATTCTGTTTATACCTCTTAAGGCAGTGGCTTAGTTTGGCAAATCATAGTTGTAGTTTGCATAGACACTCAGCTGAAATGCTTTACATATTTTTATTTTTAGTTGCGTTTTCTGATTGAAAGTCATCAGCAGTTCTTGCTTCCTTCGCCCTTTTTTGAGGTTCGTCCCCTGCTCATTTCGCTTTTCTTGGGCTCCTCTTGATACCGCTGGCTGGCTTGTTGCTTGTTATTTTTATTCCGTTTCCATTCAGTCAGGGCTCGGAACTTGTTTTCAACCTCACCTCCCAAAAGCCCACCCTCTAAGCCAGCCCAACCCCTTCGACCTTCTCCGCCCAAACCCGCCGCTTGTTAATGTTGTTCGTTTTCACATTTTTATGTGCATTTTGTGTGTGTGTGGTGAACTCAACTCATACATCCGCATTTGCTACGCAATTTTTGCACTCAAGTTTACCTACTTTTTATGGTAAACACCCAAGGTTGCTTGTTTATTCTAGCAAAAATGTATTTAGGTGAGCTTAACTACATGTGGACGAGTGCGATGGGAATGGAAATGGAAGTGGATGGAGGGGGAAGAAGGGCAAAGGTCACCGGTGGGCGACCGGGGGTCACATCCACAGCATTACTCCAAAAGGAGAAAGTTAAATAAACACTTCAGCTCCCTCACTCTCTCTCTTTCTCTCTGTGGATTATCGCAAATACATTTCTGTTGGCCTTCAATAATTATTTTGCGGGCAAAATGTGCACAGCGGATTAAGGAAGCCAAATAGTTGGTAAGCATGTAAGCCATATTATAAATACATTAATATACAAACACACAGCGACCGACAAATATGTGTATACGACTGTGCATAATTAAACGTTACGAGCATGCATAATGCAGCGGCAAATAAAAAATTATAAAAAGAACACGCACATAAATTGAAATTGGAATGTGTAAATGCTCTTAAAACTGAGGCTATCCATTCATTAAACACATTTCATTAAAGCTCTTTTTAACAATTAAAGAGTTCCAAAATGGCGTCTTTGTGTTTTGTATTAATTATCAATTATGTATCATTGGTTACAAGTTAATTTAAGTTTCAATTTTGCATAATTGTTTAACTTAATTTGTCTTTAATTTTCCAGATAATATATTTAAGTTGGGCTGAAAGCCACAGAACAGAGTTATGTTTAAAATATCCAATCAGTTGGGTTTAAGATTTAAGGCAATGTACTGTATATTTCTGGTCCACTCTTGGGCCTGCCCTTTAATCTTGTGGCTGTAGTCGTGCCTCCCTTGTTGTTGTCGTCAACAAGGGCGAAATAATTTTAAATGTCATTTTACCTACACGACTAATTAAATTTCGAATTTTATGCGCGCGACAGGCCAAGTGAAATGTACATAAAACAAGGAGCATGGCAGCGAATTAACAAAAACAAACACGACCAAAATGGTCACCCCGACAGGAGCGGAGTTTTCCTAGGCGGCAGGGGATGGAAAATCCGCGGGGAAAAGCATAGTCCTATGAAGGAATGCGCCAGCATCGCCACATGAGTGAAATTTTAAGCAGGCGCCGAAGTCTTTGGGCCATTTCCTCCGTACCAGAGGACAAGACACGTTCGCCAAAGGAAAAAACAAAACAACAAAAAAGAAAGGACGGCAGGGGGAGGGGAAAATCGCGAGAGGGGGATCCATTAAAATTCCGTTGGGGCATTGCAAAATAAATCCACTTGCAAGTGGTATAAAACAAAACAACGGCAACACTCAGTCGAAAAGGCGAAGAAATCGCCGCTGTGAAAGGGAGAAAAAGCATAAAACTCGTCATCATCAGCGTTTTTTCCCTCGGCGGCGCCAAATGCCAAACGCATGTGATTCCTGCAGTCCTAGAATTCCGAAAGCAACAACAGCGAGCTTTCCAACACTTTGGCACTTCGAGAAATAATTAATTATAGATACACAATATGTAACTTAATGTATTCAAATAAACAGTGTTTTTATAGTGAATCTGAAAGGATAAAATTATCTCTTATATGTTGTGCTTAATGTTAATCATCCTTGGTACTTCTTTTGAATCAACATATTTTGAACAGTGCTCTCACACACACATGCACACACCGAACCGCGTCTTCGTCCTTGTGTGATATGTGAAATGGCAAACAAATATTTTTTTGATGTACGGCCTAAAGTATGCATTGAAATTCAACACGCGGCAAGGGACACCCGAAAACGTTGCCAGTATTGATTGTTGGCGAAGGGGGCTTATGGGTGGCAAATGGGGCTTAGGGGGGGCTTTTAGGAGGGTGTTTGTTTGAGCCAGGGCGTGTGGTATTTTGAAGCGCTCGAAATTAGCACCCGATCTTTATTGTTTAAAGCGCGGCACGAGGCGGCATCAGAAAATTACAGAGGCTGTAAAGTGGAATAAGTTGCGGGTGGCAAGTCAAGTGAATTGAAATGGTAATGATACACGACAATGTTTTGCAGATAGGCACATGAATGGATATGGGGCGGATGGATTTCGGGGAACTCAGGGGTTGGCGTCATGGGATCGCTTTAACTGCGAGACGTTTTCGCGGTTATTGCGTCAGTTGCCTGTTTTATTTATATATCTGCTTGAAGTCGGATCTTTTCAGTTAGCAGATGAGTTAGGGATAATAAAGACATTTAACTGGCATTCAAGCCTTTTTTAATAGTATTACCTTTGTTTTTGAGGTATTTTTCAACTTTATGGAAACTTGTTAAGCTTTAAACCCGCTCAATGTTCAAACAAACTGAATCTTCATACTATAAGTATTAAATTTTCTAACTAATAACCATTTTTCCTTGCTATTCAGTCTACTTTCTTGAGGGGCCGCTTGAATGTTACTCCCCTTTTATCTGTGAAGAGTTGTCTGAAACGCTTTGCCAACAATTTTTATCACGCATACGCCTAGTTGAGCGCCTAAAAGACTGAGGCGCAATTAGAGACAACAAGCGCCGTCTACCCCTCTCCTTCTGTCCCCTATCCCCGTCTCTCTCTGCAGGCTCTCCGTTTCCCGCCGTTTTTCCTCCAAGCAGCACATAATCTGCATACAAATGCGTTGATTTGCCTAATCGACGCCTATTTGTTTGGACGAAAAAACAGAAAGAGAAACCAAAAAGAAGACACTGAATATTCCGGAGAGCGAAAGTTTTTCCGCGGAAAAGCGATGAGAAGGGGAAGGGGGCGGGGCAAGTAAACCGACGTTTAATTTTTGGAAAGCGCGAGCGTGTTGCACGCATTAAAATTAAAAGCGAAGGCGAGCACGCCTCCAATTCCCCGCCCAAATTCCACTTTTCCTTCGTACGTGATGAAGAGTCCGGAAAATTCTGGCGAGGGGTTGGAAAACGGGAACGGAAGTTGCCTTTGACTATGTTTTGCATTTGCATGCAAATGTTTTTTTCATTGGCGCTTTCACTTTCGTGTAAGCATAAAAGCGGGCGGAGGTTTTAGTAATCTTTTTTATTTCAATATTTTTCTCTTTTTTTTTTGAGGAAAACGTCAAAGTCAATTGTCAACTGAAACACGTAAGCTCCGCCGTTTGAGACGTATTTTTTGACAACATTTTCCCAGCCAGAAATGTTTGAGGGCAACTCTTTGTCTGAGCCGTCGACTTCCTTTAATAAACGCCGCTCTGGGAGCCATTTTCATTTGCTGCCCTGCCATTTGCGCATTTCCGTTTCCGGCCGCTGGTTC